CACCAGTCATATTAGATTAGAGCCTATCCTAATGACCTCATTTAACTTGATAATCTGCAAAGACCTTATTTCCAAATAAGGTCACATTCACAGGTGCTAAAAGTTAGGACTTCAACAAATTTTTGAAGGGATACAATTCAACTCATAACAATAGGCATTTTTTTCTGAGATAATCGATTTGAAAACTCTTTAGTAGTGGCTAATAAGTTTGCAGTTTATTATGATATGCATGTCTGCCCATAAGTGAGTCATGTTTGAGTATTTGTTTTGGAATAGGACTGATTTTACTGTAGTATTTTTTTTTTTTTCCTAAATTTCTGAGAGAGAGAGAGAGAGAGCACGCATGAGTAGAGGAGGGTCAGAGAGAGAGGGAGACACAGAATCTGAAGCAGGCTCCAGGCTCTGAGCTAGCTGTCAGCACAGAGCCCAATGTGGGGCTTGAACCCACTAACTGTGAGATCATGACCTGAGCCAAAGTTGGACGCTTAACTGACTGAGCCAGGCTCCCCTACTGTAGTATTCTTAAAAAAACTATAGGAAGAACAGACTGGAGAACTATTTAGGAAGGCTTTCAATAAATAATATGATTGTCACAGTATATGGAACAGATGATGAGCTTTTGGTAATTCAAGTACAAAATCAGTATAGCTGGTGGTACGATGAAGTTGGGATTTAGATAGACATTCAGAGCAAGAGAATGCTATAGAAATAGAGAGGTTATGGGTTGAGGTTCTGATGTAGGAATGTGTATTTTATGTATAGTGGGTCATGGTGGTAAAGGGAGGCTTTGGGTCAGTTATGTTGTGAAGGAATCCTGGCTCTGGCCCTTTAGAGTTAAGGCCAGTTTTAATTTTTAAGTTTCAAAAAATTCCTTTAGGATTTATTTTTAATTTTACTGTGTAGACAATTTGAAATATATCATTAGCAAGAAAAACATGACCCATATCCCCACTACCCAGAATTAGTTGTTATTAATATTTTGACATCTTGATAGAATTCTTATGAAATTCCTGCCATGCTTTTTGATTGAGATTATACCACCTAAACAGTTTTCTAAAATAAATCATCTGTAGCTTCTAAATATGTATCTGAATTTGAGACCCATTGGGTAACAGACCTAATGACCATTGATGATAAATCAGATCACCATAATTCCATAAAGCATTAGGTCAAGACAGTTTTGTCTCATGTGATTGAGTCCTTTGCCTTGTCCTGTTGTCCTTCACCCTGTCTTTCACACTACTGCCAAGATTGTTTTAATGATGACATCACTCTTCTGCCTTATCTCCTTTAGTCAGACCAAGGTCCAGCTTTTTAGCATAATAGGTATCTCTGTGATCTTTCTCTTCTTATTTTATACTTCCCAAAAAGCTTCCTGAATTCTCAGAATTTTGTGTACCCTTTTGCACCTCTGTAATTTTTCACCTCTTCCCTCCACTAAGAATGTCTTTTTTTTCTTGTTGTCCCTCTTTTCAGTGGCTGTTAATTTTTAAATACTCCTTTCCCATGACATTTCCTCTCTAAAGCCTTTATTCCAAGCCAGTTTTCCCTTTCTTTTAATATCTGTGGCGTTTTCTAGAAAACTTGCTATAAACTGATGACAGGGTATCATAGTGAATAATTTCCATCTTTATCTTTCTTGTTTTTTAATTTTTTAAAAAGGTTTTAATTTAAATTCTAATTGTTAAGAGACTGTAATATTAGTTTTGGGTGTATATAGTGATTCAGCACTTCCATAAAACGCCACAATTTGTGCACTCCTTAATTCCCATCACCTATTTCACCCATCCCTCCACCCACCTCCCCTCTGGTAACCATCAGCTTGTTTTCTGTAGGTAAGAGTATGTATCTTGGCTTGCTTCTCTCTCATTTTCTACTTTGCTTGTTTGCTTTGTTTCTTAAATTCCACATGAGTGAAATCATATGGTATTTGTCCTTTTCTGACTGACTTATTTGCTTAGCATAATCTTCTACTCTATCCATGTTGTTGTAAGTGGCAAGATTTCATTTATGACTAAGTACTATACCTGTGTTTGTGTGTGTGTGTGTGTGTGTGTGTGTGTATGTATACACACCACATATTTTCCCTTTTTTTAGTTTCAAGTTTTAATTTAAGTTCTAGTTACTTAATATTTAATGTAATATTAATTTCAGGAGAAAAATTTAGTGATTCATCACTTACACATAACACCCAGCACTCATCACAACAAATGCCCTCCTTAATATTCATCACCCTTTTAACCCTCCCCCACCTCCCCTTCAGCAACCCTTTATAGTTAGGAGTCTGTTTTATGGTTTGCTTCTCTACCACCCCCACCCCCGACCCATATTCATCTGTTTTGTTTCTTAAATTCCACTGAATGAAATCATACAGCATTTATCTTTCTCTGACTGACCTATTTCTTTGAGCATAATACATTCTAGCTCCATCTGCATCATTGCAAATGGCAAGATGTCATCTTTTTTTGATGGCTGAGTAATATTCTGTTGTACACATGTGCCACAACCTCTTTATCAGTCATTAGTCGGTGGACATTTGAACTCTTTCCATAATTTGACTATTGTTGATAATGCTGCTCTAAACATCAAAGTGGGTGTATTCCTTCAAATCAGTATTTTTATATCCTTTGGGTAAATACCCAGCAGTGCAATTGCTGGATCATAGGGTAGTTTTATTTTTACTTTTTTGAGGAATCTCCACACTGTTTTCCAAAGTGGCCACACCAGTTTATATTCCCACCAACCATGTAAGAGGGTTCCCCTTTCTCTGCATTCTCACCAACATCTGTTGTTCCCTGTGTTGTTAATTGTAGCCATTCTGACAGGTGGGAGATGATATCTCATTGTAGTTTTATTTTCCTGATGATGAGTGATGTTAAGCATCTTTTCATGTGTTTGTGAGCCATCTGAATGTCTTCTTTGGAAAATGTCTATTCATGTCTTCTGCCCATTTCTTCACTGAATTATTTGTTTTTTTGCGTGTTGAGTTTACTAAATTCTTTATAGATTTTGGATACTAACACTTTATTAGATATGTCATTTGCAGTTATCTTCTCCCATTCCGAAGGTTGCCTTTCAGTTTTGTTGATTGTTTCCTTTGCTGTGCAGAAGCTTTTCATTTTGATTAAGTTCTATTAATTCATGTTTGCTTTTGTTTCTTTTGCTTCAGGAGACATATCTAGTAATAAGTTGCTATGGCCAATGTCAAAGAAGTTGCTGCCTGTGTTCTCCTCTGTGATTTTGATAGTTTCCTGTCTCACATTTAGGTCTTTCATCCCTTTTGACTGTATTTTTGTGTAGGGTATAAGAAAGTGGTCCAATTTCATTCTTCTGCATATCACTGTCCAGTTTTCCCAACACCATTTGTTGAAGAGACTTTTTTCCTTTGGGTATTCTTTCTTGCTTTATCAAAGATTAGTTGACCGTATAGTTGTGGGTCCATTTCTGGGTTTTCTAGTCTGTTCTATTGATCTCTGTGTCTGTTTTTGTACCAGTACCATACGGTCTTGATGATTACAGCTTTGTAATATTACCTGAAGTCCGGAATTGTGATGTTTCCAACTTGGCTTTTATTTTTCAAGATTGCTTTGGCTATTTTAGGTCTTTTGTGGTTCCTTACAAATTTTAGGGGTTTTTTGTTCTAGCTCTGTGAAAAATGCTGTTGGTATTTTGGTAGGGACTGTGTTAATGTGTTGATTGCTTTGGGTAGTATAGACATTTTAACAGTATTTGCTCTTCCAGTCCGTGAACATGGATTGTCTTTCCATTTCTTTGTGTCATCTCTGATTTCTTTTCATTCTTAAAAATTTTCTTAAAGTTTATTTATTTTGAAAGAGAGGAAGTGGGGTAGGGGCATAGAGAGAGAGAGGAGAGAGAGAATCCCAAGCAAGCTCTGTGCTGTCAGGGCAGATCCTGACTCAGGGCTTGAACCCACAAACCATAAGATCATGACCTGAGCCCAAATCAAGAGTTGAATGCCTAACCAACTGAGCCACCCCATCATCTTTAATTTCTTTAATCAGTGTTTTATAGTTTTCAGAGTACCATTTTTATCTTTTTTAATAGATTGAATTACTTAAAAGCAAGGATCATGTGTTATAACACTTAGCGTGGTACCTCGTAGGTGTTTGAGCAAAATGTTTGCTGAATAAATAAATAATCTTATCTTTTCATCTAATACTGTCTTGCCAGGAATAGAACTATAGCTAGAGGGGCGCCTGGGTGGCTCAGTCATGTAAGTGTCTGACTTCGGCTCAGGTCATGAGTTTGACCCCACTTCTGGCTCTGTGCTGATAGCTCAGAGCCTAGAGCCTTTATCGGATTCTGTGTCTCCCTCTCTCTGCCCCTCCCCAGCTCATTCTCTCTCTCTCTCTCTCTCTCTCTCTCTCAAAAATAAATTAAAAAAAAAACCATTAAAAACTAAAGCTAGAATAAGTGGTCTTTTGATAAGGGAATAAGATGATTAGTTCATCTCAACTAATGGCCAAAGTTGGATGCCCAACAGTTATTAACCATTTACAATTTGTGAGGTATTCTGTTGGGCATTGTGAAAATGGGAAACTAAATTGAAGGAGAACTTAGGGACGCCTGGGTGGCTCAGTCTGTTGGGCGTCCAACTTTGGCTCAGGTCATGATCTCATGGTTCTTGGGTTTGAATCCCGCATTGGGACTGTGCTGACAGCCCAGAGTCTGAAGCCTGCTTCGGATTCTGTGTGTGTGTATCTCTCTCTCTCTGCCCCTCTTCCGCCGATGCTCTGTGTCTCTCTGTTTCTCAAAAATGGATAAATGTTAAAAAAAAAATAAAAATAAAACAAAATGAAGGAGACCTTTAAGAGTTTGCAGCCTAGTGTAGAACTTCCAGTTTTGGTGAATTGGTGGAGAATGACGGTCAGAAATAGAGTGAAGAGTGGTTAAGGGGACTGACCCATTGAAACAGAATTGTCACTGGAAACAGTTGTATAGTGCCTTTAAATTAACAAAGTTTATTTGGTTATAGGTGGCATTGGGTCTACATTACAAGTTGTAGCAGATGTTCTCAACATTTCTATGGAGACTTCCTTATATCCACTTGTGAGAGGAGCCTGAGAGCCTCATTCCTATGATAGCTACCATTCACTGGTATGATGCTGTGCTTTCTATTTCATCCTTCCTGTTCTCGCTGTTTGTTATTACAGACAATTATGTAGAACTGGAAGTGGAATGTTTTAATAATACTGATACTGTCATTTCTTTGAGATTGTGTATTATGCTTTGTTATTCTTATACCTGTTCACAGAAACACTGAATATTGAGTGCCTTGCTCATTGCAGACACTTGGCATTGTGTTTTTGTTTGAATTGTATCTAGTTATAAATAGATACTTACTGATTATTAACAGATGCTATTCCAATTTTTAATCCTTTGAATAGTAACGAAGTATATAACATTATCTTTACTTATACTTAAAAACCATGTCTTCAGGTAATGTTTAACCAGCTTCTTAATTCTCATGAAGGAAATTCATCTGGTAACTAATAAAATTCCATACCAGGAATATTTAATTACAAATCTCTGTCTGTTTTAACATGAATAAACTCTATAGCTAGTAATGAAAGTATTTTTCTTCATAAAAATTAGAAGTATTTTTCAGAATTCTAGGAAATGTCACAGTAATTTTGGCTGTAGTCATACTGCATTTAATGCTATTGAGAATGTTGTTAACATGAACAAAAATATTCTGTAATTTCCTCAGTTATTGCTGCTGGTGATGAGGGATGTAAAGTTGGCATGCTTTCATGTTTTGAGCATTTTCATTATACACTTTTGATTTTACATGTCAGAAGCAATCATTGTTTTAGGTAAGACAGCTGAGAACATTTTTACTTAGGAATAGAGGTCAGGTTCTGACTATTTGTATTTTGAGGTCAGGGAAAAATCAAATAAAATGAGTGAGAGTAAATATATGTACAATTTTGTATGTAAGTATTATAAAATTTATATATTTCTTTGACTTTGTTTTTAGTTCATTAAAAGATAGTGGCTTGGGACCAAGGCATAGGTTTCATTTCTATGTTAATAATTTTATTTTGTTATTTTCTGTGACCACTGGTAACACTCATCTTGCAGATATAAGCTGTTGTTCACCAAGGAGCTTTGGGAAGAGAATTGGCCAGATCAGCAAGTTCATCTCCATTGTGAAAAAACAACTTCTGAAGCTCATCTCTGTTGAAGGTGAGTCAGTGTCATCTTCACAGAGGAGAGATCACACTAGTGTTATTTGATGTTTTCAGCATTATCAACCAATAGTTTGGTTTAAACTTTGTTTTATGGGATGTTGAACCATCATGCTTTATTACTTGAGTGTAGTGAAGATTCATACAGAAATCATCCTGATAAAGAAAAGGGATGGAAGTGACAATTTGGTGTTTATGAATATACCTAAAAGTAATTTTGGTACTCTTTCTTTTTTTTTTTTAAAGTTTATTTATTTTTAAGGATAAAATCTGCATCCAATGTAGGGCTCGAACTCATGACCTTGAGATCAAGAGTCTCATGCTCTTACAAGTGAGCCAACCAGGTGCCCCAATTTGAGTACTTCTTCTCACCTCCATTCTTATTTCCATATAACACATGCTAGCTAACTTAATAATTCTTGGCTTTTATTTGAATGAATATTGGCTAGAACAGAATCACATATATTACTTATTTATTTTAAAATATATTATTGATTTCAGAGGCACCTGGGTGGCTCAGTTGGTTAAGCATCCAACTTTGGCCCAGGTCATAAGCTCGTGGTTTGTGGGTTTGAGCCCTGTAATGGGCTCTGGGCTGACAGCTTGGAGCCTGGAGCCTGCTTTGGATTCTGTGTCTCCCTTTCTATCTAGCCCTGCCTCACTTGTGCTGTGTCTCTCTCTCTCAAAAATAAAGAAACATTAAAAAAATTATATAAAAAATAAAACATATTACTGATTTCAGGAAATTTCAGATAACTGCAGTATCAATGTAAAGATTCTCTTCTGTTTTCAAATACATTATTTGGTCTTTCAACTGGTAGGCATTGTTGATGCTTGCCACAGGCTTTCTGTCCTAGATTTATAGTGGATGACCGTGTATTTTTAGTATTATTACAAGGGGTAGTACTGTATCTAATAGCAATCCATAGTTCAGTTCAGTATCTTTTAATGCATGTTTATTAATCATTACTTCATTTTACTTTATGAATTACATTTGTGATTTGACCTTACCCTACCTAACCATGAAGTGTGTGTGTGTATGTGTGTGTGTGTGCGTGTGCAACATTGTATATCAATAACTTGATACAGTTACTGATGTTGCTTTAGCTCTCTTTACTCGGGTTGTTTCACTTGAATCATTTCCAATGTCAGGTTGTCAAAGTAAATTTTCTTTTAAAGTCCTGCTTTAGTAGTCTTCTTTTTTGTCGTTATTGTTATCTTTTAATTTTTCTTCTTTTGGAGTATAAACAAGTCCCAAATCAAAGACTGGTAGGACCAGTACTGACTTCAAAAGACAGATATAACTGTGGGGAGAGGATCTTTACAGGTACATGATGTTCCATGATTATAACCAGCCTTACCATCTTTACTAAGTGGCTTATAAAAGGCCACAAAATCAAAATGGAATAACATGGCATTATATTTGGAGAAAAGATTTGATTATACAATTTTATTTTCCTCAAAAAGGCACTCAATATTTTTGTTCTAAGATTGGGCTTTCCCTTCCCATGCCTCGTAAGTAATTACTAAGTATAAGTCATTGTGTTTTCAAAAAGCTCATTTCTTGAAAACATTATTTTAAGATGACTTGTCTCAGTATTATTATTTTCTCATTAAGCCTACCTCAAACATTTTCAGTTGGACTAGACTTTGGACATTTCTTTAACATTATAGTAGAAGTAAAACTTATTTAGTGTATAAACTTGAATTTGTCTTAACTAGAACAATTTCTATGGTGGTTGTAGTGATGTGAAACTACTTTTTGAACAATTAATAATTATAATTATATAATTGTTATTAAAATTAATGAAATCAATTAAAATTAAAATTAATAATTTGTTCTGCTCTACTCTAAGTGCTTTTTATATCTCGTTATATTTTTACAACAGTTTTGTGGGATAGGAATAATTATCTCTGGGCTATAGACAAGAAAACTTAAAGAGTTCAGCAATTTGCATAGGGTCAGTGACTGACCTAGGACTTCAGTCCTGAACTATGTGATCTGAGAACTTCTGCCCAGAGCTCCTATTTATAAGTGCTGTGTTAAGCTGCTGTAATTCTTATGTCATGCAATCCTGATTAAAATGGTTATGATGGCCAGTAATATCAGAGTGACAAATTCTAACATAGGTTAGTAGTTTTACATTTAGAAAAACACTGATTTATCATATTACCATTTTAGTAATATGCCAAACTTCGGGTTGGTTTATTTTTTATTTATAATTTAATAAGATTATATTAGTTAGAGGTCAAATGTTCTTTGGCCATTAGCTTACATTAGTTTTAACTAAGGAAAAATTAAATAATGAAGATATTAAAAGGAAGCTTATGGCTTCTGATTCTAACTGTATTCTGTTAAGTGATTTTATTTGTTTCAGGCTATATAGAAAGAACTTAAGAAAATATACTGAATTAAAATTTGCTATGCTGAAATAGCATATTCACTAAATGATTTAAATAAAATGAAGTGAGTGTCAAGGGGGTTGGATGGAATGAAATTTTCTTTGCTCAAGCTATAAATAGTAAGACTTAAAAAAAACTTTTATTTATTTATTTAGAGGGAGTGTGGGGAAGGGATAGAACTAGAGGGAGAGACAGAATCTGAGGCAGGTTCCCTGGTGACAGTGAAGAGCCCAAAGTGAGGGTCCAGTCCATGAACCATGAGATCATGACCTGAGCTGAAACCAAGAGTTGGACACTTACCTGACTGATCCACCAGGCACCCCAAACAGTAAGACTTAATTTTGTAGGAAAACATTAAGTACTCTGGCCATTCAACTTGTATATCCTTTAATAATAGTCAAAACCTGTAAGTAAATATGTGTGCTCTTGAGAAACAGTGATCGAAAGTGACAATAAAAGTCACATAATGAAATAAGAATACTAAAACAAAAAAATCAAGGGATTTTACTGTAGCTCATTATTCACTACATTTCTGGCAGTCTTCGTGATTACAAATCACTTGATTGACTAACTAGACATTTTCAAAGTGAATTATGAATCAGGTTCATTTTTTTCTGCTTGATAGTTGGCACATGCTGTAACTCTCACACCTTGTGATATATCAAAGTCTTGTAACAGTAATAAGAGATACAATCACTTATTTTAGGAAAACTATATGGCCTTTTAAAAAAATGTTGCTAACATTTTAACAATACAATGTAATCCTTGCTTTTGTATTCCAAAGTAGAATTCACAGTGATGACATTATTTTTCAGATTAAAAAAATCTGAAGGCTGATTTTCCATCAGGCATAAAACTCCTATTGGTATCAGTTCTATAGACTTCTTGGGCAGTTGCTGAGCCTTGGTTGCAAAAACAGTTGCATATCTTTCCTTAGCATTTAAAACTGCATGATAAAGGAATTGTATGTTGTTAACATTTTCCTTTGAAGGAAATGCAGTTTCCCCTAAATACCTAATTTGTAACGAGGCCATGATGTTGCATACTTTAAAATGTGGAGCATTTTAATGGTTATTAATAAAGAAGGTCTCTTTTTGAGTTGGGAAAAGGGTGCATAGTGCCTTGAATCTTGAATCTTTCCATTCGTAAAACTTAATCAAGGGGGTAAATTATGCTTTCAAATGCATTCTCTTCTCTTTTGACTTAATAAGAATTCTTCATGCATTACTTCACTGGCAGTTGAGTGGCAGAAAATTCCTATAGTACAACTGAATTTGCTTTAATCCCATCCACTCAAGCAACTGAAAATAAAATGGGTGTTCCTTAATGTGATATATTTAGAATTTGAGAATCTTGCACAAAATTCAGTCATTGCCTTAGTGAGGTCTGTTCATTGAAAATTGTCAGGCTTGGGAATATAGGCCCCAGTTATTTAACAGTGTTGTTATGAGATCTTTTTACTAATAAAAAAAAAAATTACATATGGTAAAGTAGTTCTGTGTTTCTTATGAAGACAACATCATCAAAGTTAGTGGAAGCTTTGCATATATAACAATCACCTAATTGTACTGCCATATTTTCCCCTTATATAAAAAACAGAGTAATTAGTGTTTCAGCATTCCATTGCCTTTAACTTACTTTCTTTGCTCTCTTTTATGAATAAGATTTCTTTATAACTAAAAATCATTTTATTGCTATTACATTATTAAAAATTTGTTTTATTTCTGTTCCATTGTCTTTAAAAATATTTTACAAATTTTTTTTCTGAATAATATCCATCTATTAATTTATTTGAAAATGTAGAATAGCAATGTATTACTACACATACTTTTAGAAACACAATGATAAACTTTGTTTTAATGTTTTGTTTTCTTTAAAATTGTCTAAGGTTTTTGAATTTATGCTTTAGCCACCTTGAAATTTAATTTTTAATACCCTAACTATTAATTATGTGCCTAGTCATTAAAATATCTATTAAACATCTTTAATGAGATAACAGTTTTATTTCTGATTAGGCAATGAATTATATATGTAATCAATTATTACATCCACTGAAAAATTATGACCGAAAGATTAATCCTCCATAGATGTTTTTAAAAAGTTTTTTTAATGTTTTTATTTATCTTAGACAGAGAGAGATAGTGTGAGAAGAGAAGTGTCATAAAAAGAGGGAGACACAGAATCCGAAGACAGACTCTAGGCTCTGAGCTAACCGTCTAAGCTAGCCTGATGTGGGGCTCGAACCCACGAACCGTGAGATCATGACCTGAGCTGAAGTCGGATGCTCAACCGACCGACTGAGCCACCCAGGCGCCCCCATAGATGTTTTTAACAATATAAAGCATCTGGGTAGAATTGGAATTAAGGAATTAGAAATGGAGAGACCAAAGATCAATTTATTAATTATAGAAAAAACTTTAAATGTCTTATAACTTTAGTAGATTTTGTAAAATGACCATAAGCTCAGCTGGGGTAAAAAAAAAATACTGCCATTTTTCTAGCCTGGTTTGAGGGTTTTTACTTCTTTGACATAGCTGTACATTTGGGATCTAGCAGCATTATTGTACTTCTTCATGTAGATAGCAATATATAAAA